TTTCAGAAATTATTTAAGTACTGTATATTGGATTTTGGTTTACTCCAATCAATTTTTATCTGACAGTGATATGTTTTTTTTTACATTAACATTATAATATGAATAATTCCATTTCACCACTCATGTGATCGTCGTGTCTCGTTGAACAGACACGGTGATATAACAAACAGGTGGTATATAAATACAACGATGTCGTACAACGATTTGATACAATTTGTATTGATATACTAGATATATTCATTCTGAAACCACGACCGAATTTTGAAAACACTGTAATAAATCATTCCAGTGTCGTTAGATGTCGTGTAATTACACGTAATTACATGTGACCCGATCTCGCAACACCGAGCGCACTGACAATGTTATAAACATATTTAACGGTTCTATATGTCCATAATAACTGTATACATTTAGTCCTCTTAAATGTAATATATGCGCATGCATTGCGTTATATTACCAACAATGTTCGTACATTGTCATGGATACGCGTGTTTTCCGGTATTGACAAACTCGAAGCATAATTGCACGAACGACGAATGGAATTAATGACGACGACGACGTCCCATTAAATCTAGCTATTCAGCGCGCTTTATATGAACTGGCAGCTCTTATGTGCGACGGAAAAGTAAAAGGCGAGATAGTTTTAACCCCTCTAGAAAATGATTTCGTCTTTTGTACAACCACGTCTTGTATGTGTTTCATTCAGGTCGGCAAACTTACTAGTAATGAGCACATGTGAAAAAAAGGAAATAATTGTTACGTTTCGGTTATTATTATTATTGAAAACAACTGCCGGTAATCTATAACATTTTTGATCTATTAAAACGAAAAATGCAGCTCTGATGTTTATAGGCTTTGTGTTATAGTAGTGGTAAACAATTCATCTATATATGAATTTCTATACTCAGAAGATGCTATTTTCTTCCGCTGTCTTGTATATATGTACACTTAGACAATGAAGCGTGTGTGCGTATTTTTTCCCATTTTCTAAAAAATGACTAATTAACATCAAATGGAATTTCACAAACATTGCTAAATATTGAATGTGACATATTTTCTATCTCTTGTTTCTGAATGAGTGTTATAAACTCCCGGACATGTTCGGTAGGAACATTTCACGGTTTTAAAACGAGTATTTCTATTTACGACTTCTATTGAATATTGTGACGTGGAAGTTGAGAGATTCCCGTTTAAATTTGGCGAAAAGACACAAGAATAATCAGATTACGAAATTGTAATTACGTATTAATAATGTTAATTAAGTAAACAAGTACCGCGTACGTGCTACATACATGTACTGCACCAACTTACGTAACTACAATTGAAAAACAATGTGATAATATAGAAATAAGCAATATAAATCAATAAAACATGAAAAAAAATGAAAAAAAAGTACTAAAAGAGAAAAATATATATTTTAATTCACCAAAAGGTGTTGCTGTCTAAGGTTTGTGTCATTTTCCTTAAATTGGGCAACTGGTATTTGTACATTCAGGTTTGTATTCAATTTTTAAAATGTGTTGTAGTCATTCATATTCATGTAATTTATAATGTGTTTAGTAGTCTCTTCAAATAGCCCTTATTGCGATTTTTCGTAAAATGGCATTTAATAATAAAATGATACTCATCTTATGTAAACACAATTCGCAGATTCATTTTCCTATTTCGGTTTTTGGTTTGCTATACCTCCCCGTTTCAATTTTAGTTGTATGGTTACTCAGACGGTACCTACTGAAACATTCATGTAGTTCGGAAGCTGTTGTTAGCATCTGGTCAGTGTTTGCTCTATTCTAAACAATGCTGCTTTTAAGTGAAATTCGGGCTAATACTTTCTAGCTTTGAGGGAGGCCCGGTAGTTGAATAGAAGAGGCTTTACCAATGCCTAGTGCTTCATCCTCGACCCGCATTCTGAGTTAAACCCTGTCAGACAGTATGCGTCTGCTGTAAGGGCATTTTTTGCGACATATGTTACGTGGTTCCGAATACATTTTGCCGATCAACGGATTAAATAATCATTTATTTCATTTGTGTTATAGTTTATATACCACGTTGCACCCGGCCCACGAAACACCAACAATGAATAATAATAAAAGGAATAATGTTAATATGATATTTCTAATTTTCATAGAAAATATAAACTACAACAAGCTGTTGCAAATATGTTATGGAGGATCGATTTTGATGATCTGGTACTACATGGAATGAAAATAGGAACCACTCAGCAAACCCCGCTCAAGGTAGGTGTTTTCTTTTGCTAGTCCATTGCTTACATGTGCCAGGCATTGAACTTTCATTCTGAAAAACGAAATGTCTAGATATACACACGTGATACGTTCACAAACCAAAGAGAAGACACGCTTGTAGGAAGACATTCTAATAGCTAAAGATTCCATCAGTATCTTGGAGACGCATATTTCCAAACTCAGTCGTAAGAACAGTAACTGATGTGCTAGAGGCGACAACGCTAAAGAACTCGGTCGAACGCACGCACATGCTCTTCCTCACGGGCATTATTTCAGTGAATGACATTAGATTTAAAATTTGGATAACCTTTCCCTCTCAGTACATTTGCAATGTTCAATTCTGCTTTGACTATTAAGGTATGCGGTTATGACGCATTAATATTGGCCGAGATAGTATTTAACTGTACCATTGACTGGATTGACGGGAAATAACCAAGTATTTCACTCATACATAATCACAAATGCATACAGTGTTGTCCCTGAACGACAATGTCCATAGTGTCAATTAACGTTAAAAGAATGCAATAATCTGTAATCAGTGAACAAAGAAACGTCTTTCTCAAATCAACTAAGCGGATGGAACTGAATGAACGAACATTATATAATATAACCATTGAATAAATGCACTATCATAGAAAGCCATACCCAGGGGATTTCACTGCCGCGTTTTTTTCAAATATCAAATGGCAAAAATCCATTACAAAATTGAAACTGCTATTATGACGTATCTAGTCACAAAATTGATTTGCTAAGGGGGGGGGGGTGAAAAATAGACAGCCAATATAAAATTGGTACGTCTTCCGATTACATTATGTTTACGTGACTATGTAATTTCAATCATATCAAATTATACTGGAATATATGAACGGGTCGATATGAGAATTATAACCAAGTCGAACCGATGACTATTTTTCCAGAGTTCTCTGTGAATATTAATAATGCGGCACGCTGTGAAGGCTGTACGCAGAGGTTAATACATCGTAGTGGCAAATAGCAATATCTCTAATCGTGTGAAAGACAATGTGTCAAGTCACTCTACCTGAAGTGTCTCTAGTGGGATGCTTTAATGTACACCGAACACTGTTGTTGCCTTCGTAGTTCAAGGAGGGAGATGACCCGAGTAGTCTATGAAATAGGCTGACGCGATTATATTGTATGTTGAAACACATACAGAGGGAATAATGAGTAGTTTTATTCGTTCACTCTCAGTAACGAGTTTTTTTGCATCATCTTAACCAGTTTCATTTCACCATGCTGCACCTTACCACAGCCCTCAACTACCAGACCTCACTTCACGTCACTTGTTCAACCTTACCTTAACTCAACTTAACTCAACTGTATCGTAGTCAACTCGCCTTACCTGAAATTATACGATCCTACATCAACATACCCTGGCACCAACTTACCATACATCACGTCACCTTACCATACATCACATCACCTCACCAAACTCCACGCCGCATTGTCATACCTTACCATATACCGTATCCTTACTATACCTTATATGTTCTTGCTATTCCTGACGCCACTTACATCAGGTCACTTTACCATTGACACCTCACGTCACCTTACCATACATCACGTCACCTTACCATACATTACGTCACTTTACCTTGCCATACACCACGTTACCTTACCATACACCACGTCACCTTACCATACCTCACTTCATCTTATCATATATCACGTTACCTTACCATAAATCACGTCACCTTACCATACATCACGTCACCTTATCATACCTACGTCA